CGGAAGATCCAGTTATCAGCAGGTTCATTTCTAGATTCTGTGCTCCGATCTTCAAGTTTGCTTAGGAATAACCAGTCCGGTCAGAATGGAACGAGGATTGTTCAAGGAAGGCCTTTAACCATAATAAGGAGTACTTGATGAATCCACCATGTGTAGCGTTCTCTTAGACTGGAGAAACCTTTGTTCCTGTACTTGTCTGTAGAGGATGTAGAGTTGGAGCTATGTTGGCCAACAGCCAGATGTTGCCCTGGAGTAGAAAAGGCCATCTATTATATCAGTAAGAATTAACTGGCCTATTGAGGAAGAAGTATAATTTGATAGAGAAGACATGTGATGACAGTGCGTGTGGTCGATCAAGAAGTTGAGGCTTATTTTGAATTTCTTTCAGGATCACTTTTTTCTAAAACTTGATCCTATGAATGTATCTTGCAGAAAACACCTACTCTACAGAAGGACGGTTGTCCACAAATGGTTATTCGATGTCCCATTGTAGATGTGCGGAGTTTTGTCACAAAAAGACGGTCAACAGGTCAGGTTGTTGCAGAATTCTGGCTGAGAAATCCCATCGAGATGCATGAACATCCGGGAACTAGAATTTCCAAACGAAAACATTTTGTTATGTGTTGAAAGGGTTTATGAAAACTATATCCTTTGACCAGATCAGCCAAACTAAGGAATGGAGTTTGGAGGCTGGTATTGTGATAGAAGCACCCAATGGCGAGGTAACAAACAATGTGCAAAAAGGTTGTTTTGTTCTAGTCACCAACAATATGGCAGAATACGGAAAGCAATGTATTATTGGGAATAGGAGTCTCTTCTTGCAACAGGCGCTAAGGAGGTTAAGGTGATAGGAGCACTCATGTTGGTTATTGAACATGCTCAGTGAAAGATGGAGAGTTGAAGGAAGAATAGGCTGAAGGCCTATGTTTGAATACTTGTTTAAAGTAAAGCAGCACGTACTTTGATAAGATGCACTTTTACTCACATAGGTAGAACTCATAACAAGAAATCCCAGATGCTTTGGCAAACTAACCAAGCGTGGCAGGATTTGAGTAAGATCCCAAAGAAGCCAGTTTATCATTAACCCGCAGCAATATTTGCCATGATAATGAAGAACATTTTGGTGAATCAAGGTTGAGTCAGAGGAAGAACCTTGGTTTAACCGGATATTTTGTAGTGTAACATAAAAGATGGAACCTTTTCTGGATTGATGCAACAAAATAACGACCGATCAGTTCTTCTAAGGAAAATGGCCTTTGAAGTATGTCCTAGAACGATGGTGAACTATATAGAGGCCTGGAATGGAATGCTTCTTAAGATGTGTAGGCAAGAAAGGAAGGAGAAGAAGATAATGAAAGAGATCCATGATGGAGTCTGTGGTAGCTCCATTGAGTGCATGAGTTTTGGCCAGAAAGAGTTAATGAGGCAAGGCTACTTTTAGGGTGCAGATGGAAGGTGACTGTGTCAGCTATATTCGTCATGCAAAGCCTGGCCAGTTAGCCACGATAAAAAAATCATTTGCCTGCTGTCGAGCTCCATCCAATAACTCCTTCTTGGCCTTTGTTCAGCCTTGGGGTATCAGATGTTAATTGGCAAGATCACGTCAGCAGCAATCAAAATGGTCATCAAGTATATCTTTGACTGTGGACTTACTTTTTTCTAGTGGAATTGAAGCTCAGTCCTACAAAACTTTAGACTGCCCAAACCAGTGCTAGATTTATTGATGGCAGGGAACATTTTTCTGTAGCTATAGTGTCTTCCTCATCACATAAGTTTACAGACAATGGTTCTCCACTTCCAAGCAGACGTCAGTCAAGTCCTTATACAGATATAAGGTTGAGCATCACCATTCTTTCTCCTTTATCCGGCCTGCAAGCTAATGGTGCCAGTTGGAGCCGCCAAATAAGGAGATTAAGGAGAATTCTGTCCAAAGTGCAAGAAGTATAGAAGCTGGGCTGAGAACTTCCTTGCGCACTCTATGGGGGCATCGAACTGTCTCCAAATATCAGTGAATGGAGCTTCTCTTTCGAGCTTGTTATGGGATGGAGGCATGTGCTTACCTAGTAGAGCTCCGAAAAGAAGTCTCTCAGGTTCTTGTGGAAGCTAGTCGACCGAAAGGACGAGTGGGTCAAAGAAAAGATCTGAAGATCTGGCACTTTTAGATGGCAAAAGATTGAATGCCAGATTCCAAAGGATCAAATGAGAAAGAGAAACGATTGCTCGTATTTCTACCAAATAAGCGGGTACATCCAAGGGCTTTGAAAATGGAGCTTTAGTGTTGGTCAGATTGTTAGACCACGAAGCCCAGAGTCATCCTGGAAGGGGAAATTCAGACCCAACTGGTAATGGATTTGTTTTCAGAATTCAGAAGCTGTTGCCAAAGGGTGCCCGCTGAATTGGTCACTATGGAAGGGAAGCCTTTTATCGGATGCGTTAGTCAAGACCAGATGAAAAAGGTTTCTATGTCTGAGATGAATGAATATCGATCATATAAAAAAAAAATTGAGAATTAACGCATGGTCTTAGTTTAAATGCGAAATCTATAACCATGCATTTGTGACATTACTTGCGACTGGTGTGCTCAATGCCATCAACTGCTAAGAAGAAACCTGACTAGAAGGAGAATAGGCGAATGAATAGTTAGAATGAACAACTATTGTATTAAAGTAGTTTTTTTTTTTACTTCTGTATGATGTTGAAAGAGGTAAGATCAATAAAGAGCTTGATTTTCAGATTTTTCTTCCCTTTTGTTTCTGGGGCATGATTGTTGATTACAAGACCTTCCTCTCTGCTTATTTGGTCAGATTTTGCTCATTTGTTTTGAAGATTTTTGGCTATTGGTCCTGCCTGAGTGTTGGATTCTTTTGGACGGCGATCAGGAGGTTAAATGCTATTTTCTCATTGATTTTCTTGGAAGGATCGATAAAGAAAAACCATGAATGATTTGCATGATTGCATGTGGTTTTTATACATTTTACGTTTGCTCGTGTTGTTTTTGTTTTAAAGTGATTATAGGAATACAATTTGAAAAAAATAAAAAAGAAAATAAATTGAAAAAAAAAAACATAAAAAATGTAGATTTCCGTCCTTAGTTAAATAATCCACTTTAATGTGCTTTGATTTCTTAATCCAGGGCAGGAGACCCAAATGCTAATCTAGCAAATAATTTCGAAAGAAAAGATTTGTTGTTGTCTTTTGCTGTCTTTAAGTGCAGGAAACAGGAATCAATAAAGAACCGATGGATTATTTCATTGAAAAGAAAGAAAAAAGGGATACAATGATTGGAGTTCATAGCCCTCCGAAACAAGGAAATTTGAATAAAAAAGAAAAGCAGCAAGCAGCAGTCATCAACAGTGGCTTGGATCATCAAACACTGACCCCTCCAAGAACCCAGTTTCAATCACTAGGAATAAAAACCAATCAGATACTCGGGTGTCACGTGTCATTGGGCATCACCCCCGTGACCATGTTACCGGGTTATTTCGATTCTGCATGATAGCTAGGTTGTCAAACAGACTCTGGTATCATGGACTGCTTTTTGAAGTAATGGGACTCTGGGAACAACTGAACGCCACCATATTTGGTGGTTGGACTCTGGTTTCTGGAAGTAGCCATGGGAAGCGATCAAGACTGGCATATACGCGCAGAATTGAGGCTCATGCTCCTAGCAGTGGGACCAGTCTAATCCTCCACCCAGGCAAGGTCCACCGAATCAACGGGGTTATCTCCAAAATCAAGGGTGTCCTCGCGGAGCAGGTGCGAAACATTGGCAGGACCATAAGTTTGGGATTGAACGAGCTGGGATAGAGGAATCATGCTCAGTTATCTAAGCCCAGGCTTGCAGTAACATCGGGCAACCCGGATGGTGAATGTTGAAAGTTGGTGACCTGAAGGCAAATGCCCTAACCACACATGGTCGCTCCATGATTCATCATGACAGACGGTGCGATGAATACACCTGGCATGTTCTCGGACGACGGTCAGTAGTCAGAAATCTCCAATTTTCAGGTTGACGATTTTTCATACTACTACTTGTTCGAGCAACAGGAAACAAACAAGCCCGAACCCAAGAGGGGTTCGCATAAGAGGGGTTCGCATCCATGGACAGAACCCCATTCAGGAAAGGCTCTAAGGGAAGGCCTTGGTCCGGATCTATTCCACCAGGAAGGTAAACCGGACATAGAGCATCAAACTCCATTAGATCATATCTTGGCCTAGGGGCAAAGCTGGAGTTTCATCCTCTTCAGGGAGGTGACCCATTATGGCGCACATCTCCTCATAGGTCGGCGTCACTTTAGAATCGTCAAATCGAAAAACCATAGTATTGGGATTGAAGTGCCTTACGAGCCAGGACAAGAAACCATGGTCAGGCTAAGTCTTTGAAGTATTTCGGCCAGGCTAGTTGATTCATGGGGTGAATCCCCCACAGGTTATCAGGAAGTGATTGAACAAAAGATGAGACTTGATTTCTAAAAGCCATGGAAGAAAAGGGTTGTTAAAACAGTTTGTTTCAAATGTCAAATGCAGCTGGAATAAGGAGAGAATGGAGAGAATGAAGAATGGAACTCCTATTTAAAGGAGGGGAAAGGCCTTACTGGGTTGAAAATGATGCTCATCACCAGCTGGCTGGCATCTGCTTTCGGTGGTGATAGGGTGCGAATTCGCCAGTACAAGGAATCAAATAGGAAAAAGTAGCAGTGAAAGCATATGGAGATACAACAGATGGGCAATTGGCATCCGAATAAAGCGGTAACTCTTATTTTGTGTCAATTCTAGCTTTCATTTTATTGTCAATTTTGGAATAATGTAGATGGGCATTTATGCAGATGGGCATTTATGCCCGCGTTAACAAGGTGGACCATTCTTACAAGTGAGTGAAATGCCTCCTTTTTGTTTCTGTGGTTTTGTTTTCTTTATGCAGGAATAAAGTAAAGTCTCAAAAAATATATATATCATAAATAAAATCAAAATGCCTACAAATAAAATAAATGTGCAGAAACTAAAAGAAATGTAAATAATACTGTAATGTGCTCAAAGGAGCTACAAAATATCAAAAAATCCAATTAAAAATGAGGAGCCTAAGGTTGCCTCCGACTGGGACCAGCTGCCGTCTGCCTGACAGAAGATGGTGGAGGTGGTGGAGCATCGTCAGACGAAGCTTCATCATCATCATCCTCCTCTTCATCTGAGAAGTCTAAAGGAATCCCCTCAACCTCCAGTCTGGTGCGGAGCCTGTCATTCTCCATCTGGAAAGGAGAAACAGCAGCGGCCTGGCAGGTTTGATGTCTCCGTAGCGTACCAGTCTCTAACTCTTGTGAAATAAAAAAGGGAAGAAGGATAAGAGAAGTACACAAATCTAGAAAGCAAAAAGCAAAGAGTAAAAGAACCATACCATCTCGTGATGCTCCGAGTATAGTCTAGCAGTATAGGTTCGGGCAAAGCAGAACCTCTGATATAACTCCTGATACCTCTGAGCAAACACCTGCAAATGAAGAAAGGCACTCAATGAAGAATCCTCCAGGTAAATATTTTCGACTTAGTAAATTCATTTTTATATTTACATGTGTGGCATGCTCAGGATCCAACTGTAGCTATGGCGGAACCTGCTTGAGATCAGCGGGAATAGCAAGGGCCGGTCCAAGCCTCAGAGTAGGATCCAAGGTAACCTCCATGCCCGGAGGGAAGGGGATATCACCTGGCACGACACCAGTAGGCCCAGCAGGAGCATCAGCCTCTGCCTGCGCCCCATAGAAAGCAGGAGTCTGATGCCTCTTCTTATCCTACAACAAGTCAGAGAAATCCAGTTAATTACTCGGTCAAAGTGTTGGAAGAATCAATTATGAGGACAAAAGAGTTACCTAAGAGTACTCTCGGACATCTGGAAATCTGGTCCTCAACCGGGTGGAGAGATAGGAGGCATAATCGCCAAGCTCTAGATAATCATCGACTGGGAAGCCACCATACTCCGACAACCTGTCCTCTGGAGTCATCCCGTCCAAGGTGCACATGTGGCAAAGGGGAGCAACAGGCACTCGCCTCTGGGCTGTGGCGGTACGGATCTCGAAGACCCTCTCTCCCAGATAGAACCGATCCAGCCAGTAGCCCTGAAGTAAGACTCTGGACACGATAAGGGCCTCCTCTCGGACTCGAGGGGCATAGGCTGTCCAAGCATCTCCCTCCCATGGAGTCAGAAAGAGCTGCAAAATATGGAGTCAGAAAGAGCTGCAAAATAGAGAAATCAGCCAAATGAGCAGTAAAGGTAAGAGGGGAGATGATACTTAGAAGATTCTTTATACTTACATCAGCCAAGACCCTGTCATTAAGGTAGCGCCTCCAGTGGTGCGGATCCTCTAAAATGGAATTAGTATGATGGCGGCGCACCAGATATCGAGGAATCCGCCGAGCCTCAGCAAGGGTATGACTCTCAGGATCCCCGGGGTAGATCCGATACTCATACGCCCAGACCTGTGATAAGTTTCAAAAAGTCGAGTGTAAATTTGGGTGATTGATAAATAAAGGAAGAAAATTCAGAAGGATAGGTATCTTACCTCGAGTGGACGGAGGAACTGCCAGTTGGACTCACCACTACCCATGGTCCATACATCCAGACCGTGGTAGAGATGAGCCAACGCAAGAGAAGCCCAGTCATAGGTGCTGACGAGGCTCAGGTCCTACAGACAAGCCAAAACAGCAAGATCTCCCTTATTCTGGGAGGTGCAGAGAAGATATGATGTAAAAAATGAAGGACCTCGTTGCCTGGTCCCTCTCCTCTCGAGTGTAAGATACCTATAACATAAGGTCCCGAAATCAGTAGTGAAGGCAGTCTTATGCTTGTCAACTAAAGCCATTAGAATTTGGTTATACCCATAGAATCCATCCATAATAGAATAACATCTCATTTCAGCAGCACTGTCGATCAGAACATCTATATGTGGAAGTGGGAAGTCATCTTTGGACGAGGCCTTGTTTAGATCCCTGTAGTCAACACAGACTCTTAGTCTCCCATCCTTTTTAAGCACAGGGACTATGTTTGCTAACCACACAGGGTAATGTATACCTCCAAAAAACTCGCATCTAGTTGCTTCTGAACCTCAGCCTTGATCTTGTCTAGCCACTCTGGTATGACCCGTCTCCTTTTTTGCTTTACTGGCTTAATGTTCGGATCTGTAGGGATGAAATGTTCTGCAATTGACCTGTCGATCCCTGGCATATCGGCATAGCTCCAAACAAAGACCTTTGAATTCCTCTTGATACATTCTTGGAGATCCTTTCTGAGCTCAAGCTTAAAGTCTAATCCGATTTCGATTATTTTGGAATCTTTGGTAGTGCTTAGGTTAAATGCAAAATGATGCAATGCATTTATGTCAAATATGCGTATAGTATAATCAATGCTATGAACGTAACAATCGGGAAAACAAGAAAACAAGTAATCAAAATTCACTTCTATTGATTGAAATAATAAAGGAAATCCATCCAAATTGTTCTCAAAACAACATTCAGAAAAACAATTGTTCTCAAAACAACATTCAGAAAAACAAAAAGAGCAGATTAAGAGCATCTTCGTTATCTGGTATTCTCCCACTGGGGACTCGTGATGCTCTTTTCAATTTCAACTTTCACCGGCTTCCTTTCTACCTCGCTCCTCACTGCGTGCAGTCATCCAGTTGTTCAAACATGCACACCAGTTTTTCTTCCCATTCTGCCTTCTGCCAAATACCAATTCTTCGGCCAATACCACTTTCCAATTGCATTACTGATCCACCTGGTTGAAGGCTTTATGAGGTGGATAATTTTACGGGTATGTGAGTAGGGATATATATTCTTCCTGTTCGGGCCTTATTGCGCTCAGAAGGGCTTGGTAATCTTCCCATGAATCTTCCCACTGTCTATTAAATTCTGTATATCGTGCCTAAGCTTGAAGCAATCATCAGTAGAATGACCTTTACACTGGTGATACTCACAGTTCCGATCCAAAAGCCTACCCCGAATAGGCTTAGATGGATTAACTGGTAATTTGGATAGCACGCCATTCTTGATGCAGGATCTCATGACTGTGCTTAAGGGTCTGCCCAAATCGGTGAACTCCCTTCTCACTTTCTCGTTAACAGCTCCAACTGTATTACTACTCCCCGACTGGTTCATAGCAGCATTTCTAGCATTTCTACTTTGATCACTGTAGGAATCACTGTAGGAGGACCGATAGTTACCAAACCCCCGGCTTTTCTTCTTCTCTTCTTTGTAAAGCTCTTCAATATTCAACCCAGCCCTTTGTACTAGGGAAAAGTCAATGAGAGGTTGGACCAGCATCCTCTCCTTGAAGTAAGGCAACAAGCTTCGATTGAAAATCCTGATAAGCTCTTGGTCCTTTGGCCTTGTCTGGTCCATGAACAACTTTGTCCTCCATCTCTTGTAATAATCAGATAAGCTTTCATCCTTCTCTTGCCTCCCTCAAGCTCTCCAAATCACGAAGGCCAAATTCATCACTGTCATCTATTTTGAAGTGTTTGAGAAAAGCAGTCTGTAGCTTGACCCAATTTCTTTGTACTTCCATCTCCAAACCGTCATACCATCTCCGATAGCTCTTGTGCAGTGTTTGAGGAAATGCCAGTAACACATCCTCCTCATTATATCGGTTCATTTGGGCAACCCGAATGAATTCAGACAAATGGGACCGCGCGTCATTGTCTCCTTCAAATAAGGTGTGTTTGAAGGTCTTGGATGAAGTAGAGTTCGTAGGCTTCAGGACATATTCAGCCACATGGAAATTGGTGAGGTGGGACTGGGTAAATTGGTGACTGGGTCCTTCTCTTTCGAAACAGATATCCTCTCCACCTTATCCTTCAGTTCTGCTATTTGCTTAATCAGCTCATTCTTAGTCGGACTAACATTGTCAACTGATGCTTGATTGCCCAAAGCGTGTTCTGGAGTCTCCCTTTCCTTAACTACAGGGGAAAATGTTTGGTTACTTGAAGAGGGAGGGACCTGATTCTGTGCCCTCTCCTGAGCCAAAGCAGCGGCTATTATATCAGCTATGGTCCTTAACTGGGCCGGAGAAAAACCAATCTCATTTGCAGTATTGTCAGCCATCTCAATTACAACTGGATCTAAATCAGGAACCGAATCATGTGAACTTAAACTGACCACAGAATTAACCGGAGCACGCTCGGGGATTGGGGGCACTCTGACCAGACGTTGACCAGGTTGCCGACGCCAAACTCTCGAAGTGATTTCCCGGGATGGATCAATCTTGGCTGACAAATAAAAGGACCTATGTCAAAAGAGGTTCTGCATGTATGCATGAAGAATAAAGACACATTGGATGAAGAAAGCAAGTCTAATGTGCTAATAACCAGTATGAAAATGAGATCTCGTTTTTGACAACTGAACCTAAAATTCGATATGAATAACACGGCAATAATTTATTTCGTACTCAAACATTTCTGGCATTATCTATCGTCTACCGTTCCTTTTGGATTTTACGGCCGGCTATTTTCTCTCAAGTCCCTAATTTTGCCTTAGAATGAAAAAATTCCCAAGCGGGATATTTCTTATATTTTTTTTCAATGTCCTTACTTTTTGCCTTGGTACAGATGGTCCCAAGCAGGATCTCATTGTGATCATTTACAAAATTTATGTAATCTCATGCTTACTTTCAGATAACGCGAGAAATGTGAAAATACAAAGGAATCGCAACCCCCTTATAACTCCCTTTTCTTTCGGGTATTAATTCATTATAAACGATTGCATCATGTTATTCAAAACGAATTAGCAAAACGAATTAAGAATCCACCCTCAAATCAAGGTCAAAGTCCATACGAAAATTAGCTCTTAATCGATGCATGGCGTGGAAAACACAAAAAAAAACATTACATGATGCATGAATGTCATAGGCATATGGGGTTTTTATAACACATAAGGGGACGAGCAGTATGGGAAATGCTTGCCTTCCAACCCTTATCTCTTCCACACACGAGGTTCCGTTGGTGAAGAATTCCCGACATCTGTTCCTAGAATTTGGCTCTAATCTCGACAAAACCAACGGGGATTGAGATTGACGTAATAAACGTCTCAAAAATGGAATGTCGGCCAAAACAGCAGCAAACGAATCAAGTTTTTTCAAGTTTTTCTTATGGGGAAGTGACTAAGGCTTTCATCTACATGCATGGGCTTTAGTCCATTAGGCTTACAAAGTCCGGGTCCCGCAAACAGGATTCAAGCTTTTACGTGGGCCTACTCCTTTTGACGCACCGTTTTTTGGATTCTTTGCTTGCGTCTCTGTATGAATGAGTAGTAGCTCTAGAGATGGCAGCAAGACGGGTACCTGCTAGAAATAAACTACCCGAACCGCTTGTTAATTTAAGTACTCGAATCCGTCCCAAATCCGTTTAGAGTTACCCGCATACTACCCGAAACAATTTAAATACCCGTTTAATAAAAAATTCATTCAATCCGTGAAACCCGAACTCGTTTATAACCTGAATCCGAACCCTATAATGGAACAAAAAATGCATTAAAATTCAACCTGTAATAAATTTCTAAAACAACGGCACTAGTTAATATTTAAAATAGAACAAAAAAGAATTAAAATTCAACCTAAAATAATAATGCATACAATCAAACCAATAACTCAATTAAAATAATTTTGACAATCAAAAAATCTATTAAAAATTCAATAACGATAACAGTAACAAGACTAAAAAATCAATAAAAACATAATTTAAACTATAAATAAATTATCATAGAATAGAAGGGTGGTCGGACATATTGGTATCAGTTTTGCTACTATCTCTAATCTTTTGCAATCTATACTCTCAAATGTTGACATATATTCCTAAAATAAAAAAATCAAAATTTAGATACAATATATTTAAATAGTATAACATGTTATCAAATAGAAAGGAACCAACAACAATTAAATCAAAAAGAAATATCTCATTCCTCATTGTCTAAAGTAACTCAGTTTAGACAAAATAATGAATAAATAGTGGAATTATTAACATGAAAAGTATGGACTACAGAAAAGGCAAAATAAATTATTATATAGCCAATTTTTCCTAATTTAAAAAATAAGAAATGAAAACAAAACAGTTTACACTAGCAAATAAACTGCTACAGCCAAGTTTAAGAGACAATAACAAAGAAAAAAAAAAACAATCATCAAGATTGTATGTTCCTTAGCATTTAATCAAGTCGTTAGTTCCATACAGAGAATCAATACAGAGAATAAACAGGTCAAAACTTAAAAGCAAGAACCAGAAGATTTCTTTGACCATCTCAGCTTCCCTACACAATATTTATCATTATTATCAAACTTTGCATTAACAAACTGAACATGTCAGATCCTATAGCCATGAATTGGCTTATATGAACCATCCTGTTGCCTTTTAATATATATATTTTCAAGAAATTAATTGGCTTAAACATGCACAAAACCCACAAATAAAAACAATAAACATATATTTGTCGGCTGAACCCACGAATTAATTCAACAACATATTCAGTAATTCCTCCTCTTTGTCTATGTATATGTATTTATATAAAAAAGAAAAAAAAAAAAGAAAAAGGGACGAAGGAGAACAAAAAAATAAATGGAAAACGAAATTTAAAAAAAAAAAAAAAAAAAAAAAAAAAAAAAAAAAAAAAAAAAAAAAACAAGATGGAAATGGAGGAACCTGGCACTGGTACTACCGTTGAAAAGCAGGACTAGGTATGGCAGCAGGGCAGGAACCCGCCAAAAATAAACTTCCGACTCCGAATCCATTAAGAAATAAACTAATAATATCCAGACCCATCCCAAATCCGTTTAGAATTACCCGCATACTACCCGAACCCGTTTAATCACAAGTTTATTCAATCCAGAAAACCTAAACCCACATGGAACCCGAATCCGAACCCCAAGTGCAATAAAAAATATATAAAAAATGCATTAAAATTCAAATTCAAAATAATAAAACAACGTACATGTAATATTCTAAAATAGAACAAAAAAATTGAACTTCAACCTAAATAATTAATTCAAACCAATATCTCAATTAAACAATCAAACATCTACTAAAATTCAATTAGAATAATAGCAATAGCAAACTAAAAATCAATTAAAATATAATATAATAATCCTAAACTATAACAAATTATCATAGAATGAGATAAACAATTTTATCATAGGGAATGAGAAATTTTTACAATAAAAAACCCCACCAAGAAAATTTTACATTAAAAACATACAATTCTTGAACTCTACTTTTTTTCAAACAAACAAGATTTGCAAAGATTAACAACCCAAAACATCTACATTGCTTTCCGCACAAATAAACATATACATTTCGACTCTTTTGTGCAAAAGAAACAGGGAATTCTGAAAATTAAACAAAGAAAAACAAGGAAAACTGCCCACTTTATCCAAGTCAAGGGAAAAAAAAAAAAAAAAAAAATGTCCAAGCCCCTATTATTTTTTTTAAAAAAAAATTCAAAACATAAATTTTAAAACTTTTTTAAATAATCTTAAAAATACATTTATAAGAGAAAAAGAAAAGATAGAAATGATTAAAATTTAATATAATATATTATTAATTAATTATTTTAATTATATAT